TGCCATCATCTCGTGCATTCCTAAACTTTTCGAAGCAATCATAAACAAACATATATTCAGCCAAATAAAACATAAAATAACGAATCCGCAACACAGCTTTTTTAAAGGTCGTTCAACCACAACAAGCCTCTTGGAATTTGTTGATTAAAGGGTGTCCCACATCAAATTGCATCGCGGAAAAAAACGCTGTAGAAAATTACCCATTGCATATTTTCTCTTGAAAATTTGGGTAGAACTAGTTTAGAGTGTATTGTTTACACTATCGCTGTAAGGTTTTTCGAAAGTTGGAAAAAATGGCTCCACCCGAAAAGCAACGTCGCGAATTGATTTTGCGCAAACACCTGGAAAATCCTCAATTCTCTCATCGGGACATCCGAAAACAACTCAGAATCGTGCAGTCAACGGTGAGTCGTGTTATTAAACGTTACTACGAAACTCTGAGCATCGAACAGAAGGAGAAATGCGGTCAGAATGGATGTTCTATTAGTGATCAAGATCACAAGCGTGTCGTGAAAGCGTTTAAGCCGAATCAGTCAGAGAGCCAAGGACCGGGAGATCCTGCATACGTAAAAAGTGCAGAAGGCTCCAAATTGTGACGAACGGCAAAATACGGTGGGAAAGTCACGGGCCCGGAAACTGTACACCCAGGTGCTGACGAAGCCTCATTGTCTCATCCTGGATAATGAGACTTACGTCAAAGCGGAATTCACCGTCCAGCACAAGTTTGATATTTCGGAGGAAGTAAGGAAGCAGAAACTTTCAAAGTTTGCTAAGAAATACATGATTTGGTTCGTGACTACTGAGACTGTAAACGAGGAGATCTACCTCAAGGAGTGTCTACAGAAGCGTCTGCTTCCTCTGTTGAAGCAACACGAGGGCCCTACGATCTTCTGGCTTGATCTAGCTTCGTGCCACTATTCAAATGTTGTCCTGGAGTGTTACGAAGCCAACGGGGTCACTTTCGTACCCAAGGACATGAACCCCCTCCAACGCACCGGAACTAAGGTCCATCGAAAAATACTGGGCTATTATGAAGCAGGCACTACGGAAGCATCCCAATGAGGTCAAATCTGAGGAAGACATGAAGAAAAAGTGGATTTCCGTACAAAAGAAGCTGCAGCCAGATGTTGTACAGAACCTAATGAGTGGAGTTAAGCGTAAGGTACGAGCGTACGGTTATGTTATTGAAGTTGAATGAAATAAATATGCCAAAAGCTTACTAATGGGTAATTTTTTATTGTTTGAAAGTTTGAAAAGGATCGGTACCCTAGATCATTTTCTACACTTTTTTTTTTTTCGTGATGCAATTTGATGTGGGACCAGAGATGCCAGATTTTTATTTCAGAATACTGCGAAAAACGTCTGTGAATTTTGAAATGTCTGTAATTGGGATGAATAAAATTAGCAGAAGTTTGGGGGGGGGGGGAGGTGGGGATGCTCATGAAATAGATGCGAAATTTGAAATGTCGAGCAAAAAAGTCCTGCTTTTAACGAATCGAACCTCATTGGAGTTGGTAATGCATCCATTTACGCCGTATACGTTACAAGCAATTAATAAAAAGATAAATTACGATTACACGACAAATGAGGTCAACTCAAAATTGTGATTAGTTCACTCATATTCTTGAAAACGTATTTAACTCATAGACTGAGTAAAACTTCCCGAGCTTTCAAAGGATTTTTTTTTTAATATGAGCAACATCTCGATGTACATATTAATCGGTATACTTCTAGAATGATTAAATTTTTCGTCGATTTTTGTCATATTTATTCGAAAAGATTTATTAGGCGCGGAAATTTTTACTCAGTCTACAAGTAAACCATGTTTTCTAGAGTTAGCGTAATCTAAACATAAATTTTAGTCGATCCTATATGCCATGCAGTGTGGAAATCCGTTAGTTACTTAGTATTGGTCCTTTTACACGCCAGCAGCAGGGGAACGAGCACATCTTAGTGAGAGATTCAACTTTCCACCACCTAAATATGGAGAAATTGGCAATCATAAGAGCAATTTACAAGCTTATTAATACGATGCTAAACACTTCGCGCTCAAAAAGTGTTGATGAATCAGGCTTAGGATTTCTGAAACGATTCAGATAGGAAGGAATATTGAAATAAAGATCACGAGAAATTGAGAGTACTGTACAACGTACAAATACAGTTTTATAATAAGATTTATCAAGCAACATATTCATTGCATTTTGCAAAATAATTGCACACCTGAGAGAGAAAAACTTGACTAAATATAACACAATTTGCTGATACCAACCTTTTTGCCTTTCTCGTACACCAAGGTGTACCGAATGGCAATGATATCACTTGAAAATACAATTTCTATCCAAGACCTGGAGAGACGCATAGCATATACCAATAGACTCATCTCAACGGGATCCTTAGAAAAAGTTCGTTATGGAGTTTGATATTTCTCGATTAATTCCACATTTTATTCAGGTACAAAACGGCGAAAATGGCTGCTTCGTTCAGCACTGGGTGGGTGGTCTCGAATAAAAAGATGGAATAGGATGGAAACACACTGTCCGTTTCATTCAAGGAGGATGAAAGTAATCCGCTTTATGTTTCATATAACGGATTTATATAAAATTTGCTTCAACATTTCGATATTTAAAGATAAATTCGAGTCGTAATGAATAATAACAAGCACCTGCCGATATTATCCGATTTCATACACTATTCATCTATAATCTTGGATGTGGTAGAATTATGGAGCTGATGTTGTTTTAAGTGTATTTTGTGATGTGAACTGTCCCTTTCTTGAGCACCTACTTTTGTGGTTGTTGCATATTCAAAATATGGAAGCAACTATATTTGTCCGAAGATTTTGCAACATAATTGATGGCCAAACGTGACCAAACCCAGACCAACCGGTAGGTGCCATCGATGCTAATCTTCACCGGTTGCCTGAGATTGGGAAAGTCTATTGAGGTAGTGATGGAAATCAGTAATGACCTTGGAGATATCCGAGAATTCCCAGTCGTGACATATGCGTTTCCACACTTCCTATAATGTGTGTAATGTGCTATACTTTTATTTCAAAATTTCAAGAGTAAAGCTGCCGCAAAACATGCAACAATGAAACTGGAACTTCACATTGGATGCAGCAAACAGGGAGTTCCAATTTCATGAGTGATATCACAACTGTGTCTGAAATTTGTGAAGTGATAGGACATCTCAGCCATCATCAGGCAATTTGTGGACTCTTCAAGGAATCACCATAAATGATTTTTGAACATACGATTTTCGAACAGATTTATCAACCAACAATACTAACGGGTGGATCAGCAAATTTGTAATGACCTTATCTTGCAAACTGAAGCACGGCTACGCAAACCAATTCCACCGTCGGTTAGGAGAGAATTTTCCCTAGCCGACGGTGTTGTTGATTCGGCAAGGCGAGCTTCTATTTTCGAGAAAAGAACATTACAATATTTGAGTACAAAAGTTGATCCACCTTTTTGAATTGTTGGTTGAGATTTAACGACGTTCCTTTCTTATAAACAAACTTATAGAGAGGTGACCAGATATAAGAGATGTGACCGATTAAAATCGATATTATTTGTTTTTAGAGATTTAAGCACGATTACATCGGATGAATCCGATAAAATGGATGAATCCGATAAAATGGATTTCTCCGACGATAAATCAATAAATAAAACTTTCGAGTAATTTTCAGCAAAATTTGAATAAATCTGGGACTTTGTTCCCCCTCGGTTTCATTCACTTTTTCAGTGACAGTGACTATAGACAGTCAAGTTATAGACCGGCCAACATGAGTTGACGTATTCAAACAAACCGTCAAATCGTACGAAAAATTTTCGTTTTGGATACAACATGGCAGCACATTGACATGTCTATAACTATGTAACAGTCTGTAACAGTGACAGCTCGTTCGCGTGGTGGATTTGAAAACGCGCGCATTTCTAATGCGTGTTGCAAAATGTATCGCACGTGTAATTTGATTAAAGATGTAAAACAGTGTAGCAAAATAAATTTTAAAATTTTCCCTTGGTTATAAAAGTCTGTGAATATCTGTGAAAAAACTAAAAAGTCTGTGAATGTCTGTAACGAAAGAAATGTCTGTGAAAAAAATAGAAGCCTGTAAATTCACAGACATGTCTGTAAATCTGGCATCTCTGTGTGGGACACCTTTTGATTCGATTTTATTTTATTGAGCATTCAATTCCCATACGAATTCAAACCAGAAGCGAATGTGGCAATTTAAACAAATCCTGCTGCATATAGAGTACGAATCGTTGCCAAAAACATCGAGGATTCTTGGAACAGACGAACGGATTTCATTGTAGAAAACAAACTTTATTTTCAGTGTAAGCTTGAATTGAAAAGATTACCGAGAACTAGAATTGTTTGCTCGATTCACCCACCCACAGAATTAGATAGGCAATTTAGCTCAGGCAAGAGTGGCTTAACGCACACGTGCGCTGCGTTGATTCGACAGCGGGGCTTTGTTTTGGTTGGTTGGTTGTTGATTTGTTATTTTTTCGCTCTGTAATTGCGCGGGTTCTGCGATTTAATTTACATAGAACAACCACCGCCGTTTTGATTAGAGAAAGGCACTGCGAGAGGGTACGATTTCCGGGAATCAAAGCAAATAATCGCATCCTGGTCAACCAATCGAAACCGGTGGGAGTCTGCATTATCATTAAACTATCAACGTAGCAGCTCATCACATATTACAAGGTGATCAACACAATTACCATAATAGCAGTGGGTTCAAAAATGTGCATCCAAACAAGAGGATGGACGAAGGAGGGTGGGTAGAAAGCTTCGGATTACGCAGGGAAACGGCCAGATACCATCATTTCCAGCAGTCTTTGTTTGTTATTGTTCGCTGTGTGATTTACCCTGGCCCTCTAGGAGTGTCTGACTGCGAGGATCAAAGGAGGAAATCGCCTACCGGCCCGCGCCTGGGAAAGTGGTATGTGTGCGTGTGTGTGTGCACTCAGGCTTGATTGGATACTTACTGAGGCGTGATAATTTGAACGCATCCGCCGTGTTAATTACGTCAACATAGGCCTGCAGCTCGAAACGGCGCGCTGACACGTTCAGATTGTGATTCAGCATGGCGAACTTGAAGGCGGACTGGATTTCGTCCGTGCCCTGCTCGAAGATGGCACCTGAAAGAGGGAGATAGCAATGGAAAGCGAAATTAGTTATATCGTTCTGTTGCAAAGTGTTGGATGGATGGTTCAGGATCCATCCCGGACATTGACAGTTTTCATATGATCTGCAATTATGCAAACTATCTTTTCGAGATTTTGCCCGGTTCGTGAATAATTGTTTTTTAACTCTTTATTTGTTCCAAAATCAAAATAAATAACATTTCATTTTAACTCAGGTGCTCCAGTTACTACAGTTACGTACCAGTCTTAATTGTTATGATATATATCTAAGTCTTTTTCTATTGTTCCTTCCTTGGCAATTCAGTATTTTAAACAGGTTGTCTGTATCTGCATGTCGGTATAACAATTGACATCTTAAAAAAAACTAAACTAAATCTTATCTAAGTATAAAGGAGATTAGTCGTTGCAATTTAGGATTGCAGCGATTTTTGCCTGAAATTATTAATTATTTTGTTGGACATTTGTTTTAAAGTCTCAACATTCTAAATTCTATGTACCTCGGTAGCACTGTACCAGGCAGGCAACTTCTGTTCGTGAATGATGATTCATAAGAACTCTTGGTTAGCGTTATTTTTTTTTTAATTATAGTCACTTTAACACATATTAATTGCTGTTCATAAACCATGCAGACAATTAAGGCGAGAACGGTTCATGCAAATTAAAAAAAAATATGAATGGACGATTGTATACGCGGAAGGAGGTGACTTCATTACATACCACTAACGCCCGCATTTCGACCTTATGTCATTTTGTGAAATCGTCGGACACTAATCGGTATCGGAGAGGTGAATCAGTTTTTGAAGAACTAGATTTCGGGCACCTTCCTTGGATTTTGGTGGGATTCATACCACAACAAGCCCAACCAACGACAAATTAGGCATTGATTTCTTCATCGACTAGAGGATAGACGACGTAACACGATAGCTTTCAGGTTCGGGCATCGTGCAACGGTCATCGTGGCCTGGTAAATACATATATACAGTATATGCCCAGCCGAAGCTGGATTTTGATTGATACCGCACCTAAATAAATTCAACCTTTCGATGCTATTTGGACTATTGGAGTCAATTCATTCACGAATGCAAGCCCTGAGGTTTTGTTTGTTATCGGACTGCTACTTTACATTCTGCGTGACGTTCATCACCATCTGTAGTTCTCCAGGTGATAATAAGTATATGTCCTGCCGAAGCAGACTCTCTTGTGATACTACATTAGTACTTTTCTCCTTCGCTGCACTGGATTTCGATACGATCTACCGACTTGTTACCGTAAGGCTTTACAACTTCGTGGTTCGAAAGGATAGTTATCGTGATTTTGAGGCAATTTGGATTCGGCTGTCGGCACAAACTGTCGTTTGCACAGGTAAGCCGAACGGTATATGTTCAGCCGAAGCTCAAATATTGGTTACTGCATTCGTTTTTCTACTCCTTCGCTCTTCACTGGCTCGAATTGGAATCCGAGATTCCCGATCAAACGTTTTGAGGTGTACAGTTTTGGAATTTACTGCTATCTGGCTTCGGTAGCACCACTGGTTCTTCTCACAGGTGAGTTGAACAGTATATGGCCAGCCGAAGCAGACAATTTGCATACTACATCGCCGATTCCTTTCGATTCTCGGATATTTCAACGTTTCGGCAAACATCGCGTGGAGCAACGCATCACTAGTACCTACCAACTTACGACTGGCTCTTGGTTCTTCGTTTCCGTACCGTGATTCCTCCGACAACAACCATGCCAACGAAGATTACCAGGTCAACCGACTCCTTGAAGGTGTTGAAGTCAAAACTCAAGGGTCTTCGAGCGTCGTTAAACAACATTAGTCAGTTCGTTAGGTATTATATACGAACGTATAGATTTGTCGTGGGAGCAAATTAGTGAGACTTCTTGGGAAATCGAATCGCATGAGGACTACGAAGAGCAAGAAGGTGTCGAAAAGGAGCAACTGGAGTTCGAGAATCGCTACTACGATGCGAAATCGTTCTTGATGGAGAAGGCCAAGAAGTTCCAGGAAGAATCAGCACTAAACCAGTCAACACGGAGTGTGGACGCCTCCAGTGCACATGGTACAATGGATCGTGTACGCCTGCCGCAAATCAAGCTGCAGACTTTCGACGGTGACATCGATGACTGGTTGAGTTTCAGGGGTCTCTACACGTCCTTGATCCATGAGAAAGCAGAGCTTCCGGATGTGGAAAAATTTCACTATTTGAAAGGTTGCTTAGCAGGCGAAGCTAAGGCGCTAGTCGATCCGCTAAAGATAACTAGCGTCAATTATAAAATAGCTTGGGAGTCGTTGCTAAAACGCTTCAACAACAGCAAGCTACTGAAGAGGAAACAGGTACAAGCGCTGGTCAAACTACCTTCACTCGCCAAGGAATCGGTCACGGATCTCCACAGATTGGCTGATGGATTCGACCGTGCGATTCGGATATTGGATCAAGACATCGAACCAGCCGAATACAAAGATTTGCTGCTGGTAGAACTGCTGAATTCTCGTCTGGATCCAGTCACTCGACGTGGCTGGGAGGAACACACGTCCGCTAAGGAGCAAGACACTCTAGGACTTGCAGGAGTTCCTACAATGGAGAATTCAAATCCTCGAGTCTCTACCAGCGAAGACAGAACTCAAAAATGAGCCGCAACAACCCAAATGGAAGTCATTTTCATCGAAGGTCAGCCACAACGCCGTACAATGGAATACCGCTAAGTGTCCATCGTGTACGGAGGTTCATGGAGTACAGCCTTCCTGGAAATGTCGCTGTCCAGCAGGGAGTTATTCATTCGAACACAGTCACTCTGCCGAAACTTTTTCAAGCGAGGACATCTAGCTCGAGATTGCTCGTCAATGTTCTCGTATCGCAACTGCAAGGCTCGACACCACACACTGCTGTGGTTCAAGGGCGAAGGAAGAAGCAATAGGAATGGATCACCCAAGAAGGCCAATTCGGGTAAAAGTGGTAACTGGAACGACTCAAGTTCTGATCCCAAGGCAGCAAGTGCCGCATCGGTTCAGATAGTATCGTCGAACACAGCACAGAATCACACGTCGCAGGTACTTCTGGCTACAGCAGTTGTTGTGATCGAGGACAACCAGGGTTCTCGCTATCCGGCACGCGCAATGCAACTTCATCTCTGAAGATCTAAGTCAGCTGATGAAGGTCGCTAGTGAGAAGGTGGATGTTTCGATATCGGGTATCGGACAAACCGGAACGAGAGTCAATCGCAAAATCCAAGCTGTCGTCAAGCCATGGTTCTCGTCATACTCACGAACGATGGAATTTCTCGTCTTGCCGAAGGTCACAGCTTGTCTGCCTACTTCTACAGTGCAGGCAAATGGATGGGACATACCGGAAGACATTGAACTGGCAGATCCTGAATTATTCCGCTCGAGAAAGATCGACTTGGTCATGGGCATCCAAGCTTTCTTCAGCTTCTTCCCATCCGGAAGAGAGATTCCACTGGGAACCGGTCTGCCAGTACTCACCGAATCAGTTTTCGGTTGGATAGTGACAAGTGAAGTTACTACATCAAGCCAAGGTACGAGATATGCTTGTAACATGTCAGTATCGAACGATCTGGAGAAGTCCATGGAACGGTTTGGTCCTGCAAGGAAGTGGGAGCCGTCAGCAAATATCCGCCGGACGAGACACGCTGCGAGGAGCTATTCGAGCGTACAGTCGAAAGGGAATCGGATGGTCGGTATACTGTAACTCTTTCCAAGCACAACGAAGTTCTTGCGAAACTGGGTGGATTGAGCTGCAACTGTGAAACGGCAAGGTATTCAATGCTTACACGATTGAAATTAGGTGGCGAACAGGGTCGCCACAATTCAAGCGCTGACAGAGGGAAACGATTGGAGAATGATTTGGGAATCACCAATCTTGCTGGTCCAAAACATTATCGAGAATGCCCATGGGCCACCTGGGTGGAGGATCCTTCTGAAGTTTGGCCAAAAGGTGTTGGAAATCCACCAGAAGAGGAATAGGAGAGACAACGCAATGTGGTGCTTTGCGCTTCGTCGAAATAATATGGGTACATTTCGGATTACTTAGCAAATTTCCCTTACTAGGCTAATTCAAATGACTGTTTACCGACTACACTACACGACAACTTACGGTGTCCAGGAGACCAAGGATGGACAGGTTTTCTTCTTAACCAAGCCGAATGGACGATCATCCGGAAGGTACAATCTGAATCATTCTCAGAGGATGCTCCTGTTCGTCTAAATTCTCCTTTACAATGATTCAATCCTCATAGTGACGAACACGGAAGCTTGCGAGTTGGTGGTAGGCTAGCGTACTCTGAAGAAACACAGCAGACCAAACATCTGATGGTTTTGTTGATTCAAAGTACGTTCTCGGAACTGGTTCTACAGTATCACGGGAAAACTGCACTACTTTTCGGTAGTGATAAAGGGTGTCCACGATGAAATTGCCACACTATGAAATTGCTCTAACTTTTTAACCGTTGGGTAGAATTTAATGAAAATCTGGGTGGATTTAGTTCATAGTGCATTATTTACATCCTGCAAGTTTTAAAGTCCTGTGATCAAAACTCACGGAAATGGAGTCGTAAGAACAGCTCGTGCGTGATAAAATCTTGCGCATTCATCACGAGAACAAGAATCTCTCGCATCGTTCCATCGCTAAAACGTTGGGAATCGCGAATTCCACGGTGTCGCGAGTGATTAAGTGGTTCGAGGAACGGTTGACCACCGATCGGAAGCCCAGAAGTGAAGGAAAAAGTATTCCGTACAACACCAAAAATCACAACCGCGTAGTTGGGGCCTTCAACCGAAATCCGAACGCCTCCGTTAGGGATGTGGCTAAGAAGCTGCACCTAAGCCGAAGTTTTGTCCAGAAGACCAAAACTAAGGCTGGGCTTCGAACGTTCAAGGTACAAAAGGCCCCTAATCGCGACGAGAAGCAGAACAAGTCCGCCAAAACCCGTGCCAGGAAGTTGTACCTCAACATGCTGACGAAAGTTGAATGCTG